TCGCTCAAACGGATGCATTTCACTCGCTCCGCTCCAGTCATTACAGTTCTTCTACGTTTCGATGCCATGATCTACACGACGTAAGTGAATAAAGTTAAAATCTTTCACAATTGCAGTCAAACGCACGCCAATAAAAAGTCACTTACACGTCTTCGTTTCGAATCTGATGAATGTAAACGGCGAAGCGAACACGTCTGTTCGGTCGTGTCGAGTGGGTGCTGCTTTTAAGCTAGTGCAGAGTTCTACAGGACGTTAAGTGAATAAAGTTAAAATCATTCACAATTACAGTAAAACACGCGCCAATAAAAACTCACTTACAGTCGTCGTTTCGAATCTGATGATCGAAAAACGCGAAGTGAAAATGTGTCTCGGTGTCGTCGTTCCGTAGCATCGGGTGGGCGTTGCGTGTATTTAAGCTCCCGCGGCATGACGTCTCAATCCGGGTTACGGGTAGTGGAATTTCCGCTTACGTAAGTTCCGGTAACATGTAATATCGTAGTCAAAATGTTAATGCACAGGTTTTTGTTCCGGGTGAAGGAAATTCCTTTTCATAGAATTCCGGGGATGGGAATATTTACTGTATATTAAAACCTTGTGAATTATTGATTCTACTCGTCAAACCTGTGATGGAGTCTAAGAGCTACTAATTTTAGTTGTATTGCAAAGTAGGTCATCAAATAAGTCAAAGTAATTCTATCTCAAATTAGTTTGATAAAAAAATTATTAATAATCTTAACTTAATTTTAAAAGAAAGATAAAATAATTTAAATTCCCTATTACAATTAATGACCATTTCACTTTCATTTGGTCGTATATAATATATATAGATTATAGGTATAGATTATAGGATTATAGATATCTATCTATCTATCTATCTATCTATCTATCTATCTATCTATCTATCTATATAGATAGATAGATAGATAGATAGATAGATATAGAGAGAGAGAGAGAGAGAAGACTTGATAAGTGTATAGTTAAGATAAATACTGAAACTTAAACTTACCACAGCCACTTTGGGATTTTATTTTGAAAATCCATTTGCCTAAACTTACCACAGCCACTTCCGGCGTATGTCTACCACTGCCTGAAGCTACCTCCTCCGAGTCTGCAGCTGGATACTATTGTAAAAACTCCACACAAGAAGGCCGGGGCCAGGATTGAACCTTACACCTCTGCACTGTGAGGCCGACGTGCTAACCAGTCAACACCGTGTTGCCCTTGACTTAAATCTTTAATTATATAACCGTGTCGTTGTATTAGTTGAAATAGTTTTAAGGTTTCTTTTTTATCAGAAAATTGTCTTTTTACTGATGAAGAAAAAAACTCTGACAGGCCTGACAGTTTCGGCCGTCTCTTCAGCCTTCGCCTGAGCTGTCAATGTCATGGCTTCCTTGTGACATGCTTAAAAAACAGCTGACCGGGTCGGTAAATCTTAAAAGGCTGCGAACCAACTCCCTGCCGCCGTCGTTAAAGCAATATTTTAACAGATAAAACTTATACCACCAAGAGAAGAAATATTTTTTCACAATATCTCATTGTACAACTAATTTTCAAGGAATGTCTAATGTGTACATTGTAATACAGTGTAATGTGTGATGTCGTTTCCTGTACATTCACGCTTCTGGTTCAAGCAGTGTCGCCGTAAACGCTTATTTGTGGAGACTCAACTGCAAAGCAGTATTGTTATGCAGCTACATTAACCTTCAATAGTTGTCCAAAGAATGTCGTCGTAGCTAAATCATGCTCTCTTGTACTGAAGGCATTACAGTTGACGATCCGTTTTAGAAAGACTTCATTTTTTTGGATGGATCATTCTGTCATAGGGCATTTTTTTTACTTACCTGTTAAGTGCAATGCTGAGCAGGTTGGCGCTGGTAAACACCGACGCTAGCAAGTCCTATACATGTACTTGTAAACCACGTATCCATCCGACATCCGACAGCACGCAGAATGCCGGGGATTGGGGTTTGCTTTCATTCAATTTTTTTTTTGCAATCTATATTTTATTGAGTGCGATGGCCATTGGTATTGATAATGTGTCGATCGCGATATACATGCTGATATCGAATTATCACACAGCCCTCGTGGCGCATCTATATGTATGAACAATCATTGTGGCGACTGGCTTGATTTGTTTTCCTGACAGGAGGCTGGCCTGAGCCCACTTGTAACATACTGTTGCCACCAACATCAGCACATCCAAAATCTTGCTCAATTGCTCAGGATGCTCCAAAGAAATATTTAGTTGTATAGACTGTCATTGTATGGTATGGCTCCTGTCACTGGCGTTTGCTGCTAACAGCGAGTGCTCAGAATAAGATGGCAAGAGCCGTCAGACTACTTTTGTAAGCAGATTCAAACCAAAACATGAAAGTGAACACTCACCTTTGATGCTGACACTCTGACACAGTTGCAGCTTCAAATTAGGCTTACTAATATGTGCTGTTTTAGCTGGCAAAAGTGCAAATGGGGTTCTAAGGTCATTTCGTCCCAAACCCCAAATCGCATCTTCTAATATTCATTTCTGTGTATAAATGAACGTATCCATTGTGAGCACTTTGAGTGTGCTCCAGAAAAGCATGTAAATCTGATGCATGATTGTGATTAATCAAAGCAAAAATGGGAACAAGACTTGTCCATTAAGAGAAACTGCAGCTGTTTGCCCTTTCACCCAAAACGGGTTGCTGTGGTTGCGAGGAACGCAGATTAGATTCCATTAGAATAGAAACACAGAAATGTTGTTTACAAGAAAAAAATGGGAAACAAGTGAGATGTAGAAGTGACTCAACCTGCACTGTGAATCACATTTCTTGGCTGCATCCTCCAACCGTCGTCCAGCAGTTGACATTGTCTGTCGTTGTCCTTGTTTGTATCACAAAGTTCCTCCTCGTAATCTGTCGTCCGTCTTGTGCACATTTTTTTACACGACAATCACAACACTTAACGCTCACACTTAATGCCAGTTTTACAACATGTTGATCACAAACGCGTCTCTTTGTTGGCGGCTAGCAAGCTAAAATAAACTACGCTAAGCTATACCAGGCCGAAAAGCTTCAACGTGCACCAAGACAATTTAAATTGGACACGAAGATTTCGCGAAACATGTTTTGGTTAAGTAAAGTAGGAATTGGGCGTACTGAGTCGAAACTTCAGTACCCCCGTTACTAATTCAGGGAAAAAACATTGGTAGTTTCGAGAAAAGGACGAACGAATGCACAAGTAGCGCTGCAAATAACAATTTACGGCAACTTCACTGGGACAAACTTCATTGTCGCGAAAAGTATTCATGGTATAAACATCAGCAGTGTGACTGCTTACATAAAACAAACAAACTGATCCAAGACTACAAGCGTCCGTATGTGAAATTGTATGTTATTTGAATAAATATGATGCAATTTACTCGTGGAAAGAAAAGTTTGTCCAAGTACAGTTGCCGTACTACATCATCGCCTGCAGATCACCTCCGCTTATTTATTTACCACTCGCTTTTCGCTGAACATTTTTTTTCTTGAATCCATTGCCGATGTACACGTACACGTTGGAATATTCGATGCGTTACGCTCATCACTACTTTACTGGACAAAACAATGTCCATTAAATATTCGATTTTGGTTAAAGTTATCCCGTCTTGGTGTTCGTTGAAGTTTCTCGGCCTAGCGTTATCTTAGTTTAGCTTAGTTTGCTAGCCGCTCACAAAGAGACGCGTTTGTGGTCAACACATCGCCAAGCAGAGATCAAGTGTGACCGTAAAGTGTTGTGATGTGAACGTGTGTACAAGAAGGACAGCACAGTACGAGGAGGAACTTTGTGGAGCAAAACAGGACAACGAAAGACAACGTCAACTATTGGACGCCGTTTGCAGGATGAAGCCAAGAACTGTGCTTCACAGAGCAGGTTGGGTCACTTCTTACTCTCACTTTTGTTTCAAGGGAAATACACAAAGGATCTTGAACTATGTTCTTGTGATTACTGACGAAAAACTGACAATAGCCAGGGGCGCACATATTAATTTTGCTGTTATTCTCAAGGGGCACCAGAGGTTGACGCCACCGTAGCAAGAGTACAGCAACGTGAAAATTGTGAATCTGAATGGTTGGAAATCACAGCTTTGGTTTGCACTGTACACTGTGCGTCCTAGGCCAATGCTGTTGATTTTGATGGTCCTGGGTCGATTTCATTTACGTGGCAACACATAGACTCTATGCGTGCATGCATATGTGAGTGAGTGCATGATTTTGTGTGTGTGTGTGTGTGTGTGTGTGTGTGTGTGTGTGTGTGTGTGTGTGTGTGTGTGTGTGGCTGTTTGCGGTAACAGTAATACAACTGGCTCTTAGTCTCTGACTGGTTGGCCACCCCTGTGATAGATGATGAAATTTGATTAAAAAAAGACAAAAAAGTAAATTACAGCTATAAAGAGTCTTTGCAGCCTTGGAGCACTGGCATGCCTCCAACAAATGGATTTTTTTGACAAGCCTGATGTATGTGTACATTCTGATGAATTTTCACACATTTTTAGACCGTCATCAGTGGTTCCTTCTTGTGGTTTCTTCATCTCCTCCAAAATGGGGTTTTGAGTTTTTCCCATGCCCCACTTTGGTGTGTCGAGTTCGGCGGCATGGGCAGCATAGGCGGCATAGTCTTTGTCACCGATATTTTTGCAACTGTGTATCTGTGAAGTCCTTGTTGACTACTTTGTGAGTAAGGGCAATATAAATAAAATTACCTCAATTAAACTTTGCTCTTGCATTTGCTGTAGACAAAATATCTGTGCACAAAATAGATTGAAAACAAAGTGGCTTGTGTGCCATTCACTGCTCACGAAAAAAAAAACAATACAGTAGAGTACAATACAATATATCATTATATAGCACCTTCACAATAGCTACAGCTGTAACAAAGTGTCTTCTTGACCCTTTAGCATTAAAACAGCAATAATACAACAGAACACACAAAATCACAATTGCAATTTTTTTAGGGAAAAAGATCACAATTAGGTTACTTCTCCATCATCATTAAAACTTATTTGACAATTGATTCCTTGTCAATTAATCGCTGCTTGACTGAGCCACAAAATGTGTATTTTGACTTGCAATTCGCAATGCTAATTCGTGTAATTCGAGTCTCATTACAGAACATTAAAGTCAACACATGAGAATTGCCTTGAACAAACAAGTCCTCATGTGTCTTGCAGACGTCAATGAACACCTTTGTCCGGAGCAGCAGGAACCAGAGGCCACTCACATGAGACGCGGCTCCTTCACAATAAAAAAAGAGGAGCATGAACAGCATTCTCACAGCGAGGAGGAGGAAAAAGGGCACCCCGGCGTCAAAGAGAAAGAGGCAGACATCACCAAGCTGTCATCGACCGGTGTCTCTTTGAAGAGCGAAGACCAAGATCAAAGTGAGAAAAGCAATGTAGTGAAGCCTCCAAGCAGAAGCTCAAGTCAACGCTATAAATCTGAAGGTAGAGCTGGCCAGTTCATTGAAATGTAATCGTGATTTCGATTTTGTCTTCTCTCGATCATAAGTTCATAAACAAAACAAAAAAGCAAGGCGGCCCGGTGGTACACAGTGCTGAGCGCGTTGACTTCACAGTGCAGAGGTACCCGTACCAGAGGTTCAATTCCAGCTCCGGTTTCCCCCGGGTCTGCGTAGATCTTCTCTGGGTGCTCCGGTTTCCACCCACATTCCCAAAAAACATGCATGGCAGCCTGATTGAACACTCAAAATTGTCCCTCGGTGTGAATGTGAGCGCGGATGGTTGTTCGTCTATGTGTGCCCTGTGATTGGCTGACAACCGGTTCAGGATGTCTCCCGCCTCCTGCCCGAAGATGGCTGGGATAGGCTCCAGCAACCACCACGACCCTTGTGAGGATAAGCGGCTCATGGTATGCCTGACAGTGGCACGCCACCACTGTGGTAAATAGTCCAACTTCAAAATAAACCTTACCTTGGCAAATAAAAAACTCTTTTATTTTGAAGTGGTTCTCGGCAGCGCATCGCGGTGTCATGCCCCACTCAACTCATCGTCAAGACTGTGTTTCCCGAGCTTATATTCCCGTCACAAACTGGTACTACCGATGTCAACATGACCTGAAATAACGTTAAATCACAAATAGGGCTCGTCCCAATTCCACCACAGTTTGTTCTTAAATTTTGGCAAATGATGCCCACCTTTTGTCTCGACAAGTCAGAGAACATGGGGATGATGTTCTCCAATATGGTGCCCCAGTATGACATGCCATTTGACTGAAGAAACATTCCGCTTGCAAGAATCATCATCTTGCACTAAGTGCACCAGAGTGCTTAGAGAGGGCAACTACAATTCAATATGATCTTTTTTGCATGCGTCCAAGGACTTTGGCCCGCACACGATCAAGCCTCAGATTGTCAAAACGTTGATTCCAAGAATGGTCACAAGCCTGCGGTCAATTAGGCAGCGGCCATCTTCAATATGTTTCCACTACGCCACACACTGAAAATGGCTCCACAGCAACTGGCCCCTAATTATTGATGAATATAGGGGTGTTCACACGGCAACATTTGGTCCGACACAGCACCGGCACTGCGCCAGTTGAGCGTTCATACGTGCAAATTTGCTCCGGCGTAGCACCGCTAAACAGCTTACACCGGACCAAATTTGATCCACCTCAGGGAGGTGGTTTAAAAATTTGCTCCAGAGCAAATGCTCGTTTGCGGTGCAGCACCGATGTAAATTTGCACGTGTGAACGCTACAATTTGCTCCGGAGCAAATGCTCGTTTGCGAGGGGGGAGTAGCCTCTGTACACATGAGAAGAGTTGATTACGTACGGCGAGAATGCGTTGCTTTCGTGCTCTGTCGGACTTCCGTCATGTGTTTGTTTAATAACGACACAAGACGAAGCTGGTAACAGTAGCAAAGCACCTCTTGGGTTATACCATCTCAACTAGAATGGTGGGGGGATAGTCTCCAAACGTCATCTTTCCTTTTGTAGGAGACTGGACTGTCTCGGAGTTGTTTGTGTAGTTTGTTCCTTTGTTGTGTGTTCACAACCCCCCGTGCCCCATTGAATTTATTTCGTGATTTCCTCTCTTGATTTTTCTGTTTGGCGCATTACATTTTTGCTTTTCTGAGTGTCATTGAAGTCGTCGTTGATTTACGGTATCGGGGGGCGGTCACTCTCGAGCAGAAGGCACGGAGACCGAGAAGGAGAAGGACGTGCCTGTACAGTAGTTGCTTGAGTTGTGTATACGTTTAAAAAAGAACCAACACGACAACTCATTTGTTTTCTGTCATTTTGCTCCGCTGCAGAAACTGCCGTGTGAACGCAAGTGGAGCTGCACCGACGCTGCGCCTGTGCTGCCACGCTCAGCGTCGTTCTATGTGTGAACGCTCCACAAAATTTGCTCCGGTGTAAACGATATCGCAACAAAATACATTGGTGCAGCGCCGGATAAAATTTGTGCCGTGTGAACACCCCTTATGCAAGATAAAACAACCACTACATTCTTAACATCTTAACATACACACACACAAACCTCAGCCTCAAGTCTGATAGTCGATTTTACACATTTGTCATTATGACAAACTTTTGTCACCGGTCTTTCAATCACATTTGTTTTTGTCTTAATGCGGACAGATAAACCACAGCAGCCTCATTGGGTAGATCATTTTGCTAATAAATAACTACCTTTTTTATTTGAAGAGCCTTAAGCTCCAATGCACCTTGAGTTTAAATATAAACAATAGTGTGCAAATTCAAAGTTTAAACTTGAGAATTGACACCATCAAACATTTTCTGTTTATCTTCATGTGTCTTGAAGATATCAGTGAAGATGTTGGTCCTGGGCGGCAGGAGCCACAGTCTCCCCACATTAAGGAGGAAGTGGAGGATGAAGAGCCACCACACATTAAAGAAAAGGGGGAGCCTGACCCCCCTCTCATTAAAAAGGAGAAGGAGCCCACTCGCATCAAAGAGGAGGAGGAGCAAAAGCATCATAACACCAAGCAGGATGAAGGAAAGCCTCCCTACATCAAAGCGGAAGAGGAGGAGTATATCTGTAAGTTTCCATCGACTGGTGGCCCTTTGAAGAGTAAAGATGAAGGTCAAAGTGAAGCGAGCGGAGGGGCGGGGCCTCTAAGCAGCAGCATCTCAAGTCAACACATGAGAACAGAAGGTGATGCAGGCCACTGTACAGGGTCACGGGTGGACGGCCACTCAGCTCCCCGATCAGATAGTGATGGGACAACGTCACACTCTCATACTGATGCTGAACCGCCTGAAGGTGATATGACAAGTGAAACTGCCAAACGCTGGAAATGTTCTCAGTGCCGGAAAACCTATGTTTATAAGAGCTGTTTGAAGAGTCATATGATTAGCCACACTGGTGAGAAGCCTTTTTCCTGCTCAGATTGTGGCCAAAGATTTTCTCACAAGGTAACTTTAAAGAGTCACCAAAGAACACACGCCAAGGAGAACCCTTTTGTCTGCTCAATTTGTGGTCAAAGATTCTCTCTGAAGGGACAATTGATAGAACACACAATAACACACAGTCGTGAGAAAACTTTTCCCTGCTCAGTTTGCAACAAAAGATTCTCTGACAGGAAAACAGTAAAAATACACACAAGAACCCACACTGGTGAGAAACCTTTTGCCTGCTCACTTTGTGGCCAAAGATTCTCTCAGAAGGGAAGCTTAGGACGGCACGCAAGAACTCACACTGGTGAGAAACCGTTTTTCTGCTTACTTTGTGGCAAAACATTCTATCGGAAGCAAAGCTTAAAAATTCACAAAAGAACCCACAATGGTGGGAAACAATTTGTCTGTTCAATTTGTGGCCAAATATTCACTGTTAAAGGACACTTAAAAATACACAGAAAAACACACACTGGTGAGAACCCTTATGCCTGCTTGGTTTGTGGCCAAAGATTTTCTATAAAGAGTCACTTGACAGAACACACAAGAACACACTCGAGAGAGAAACCCTTTCCCTGCTCAGTTTGTGGCAAAAGTTTCTCTGATAATACACACTTAAGAACACACACGAAAACACACACTCGTGAGAAACCTTTTGTCTGCTCAGTTTGTGGCAAAAGACTCTCAAATAAGGCAAGTTTAAAAATTCACACAAGAACCCACACTGGTGAGAAACCATTTGTCTGCTCGGTTTGTGGCCAAAGATTCTCTGTTAAAGGACACTTGACAGAGCACACAAGAACACACACTAGGGAGAAACCTTTTGTCTGCTCAGTTTGTGACAAAGCATTTGCCCGGAGGCAAAGCTTAAAACATCACACAAGAACCCACACTGGTGAGAAACTTTTTATCTGCTCATTTTGTGGCAAAAGATTCTCCCGAAAGGAAAGCTTAAAACGTCACACAAGAACCCACACTGGTGAGAAACCGTATTTCTGCTCAATTTGTCGACAAAAATTCTCGATCAAGGGACAATTGACAGAACATATAGCCAAACACTCTGGTGAGAAACCTTTTGCCTGTTCAGTTTGTGGTCAGAGATTCTCTCGTCAGACAGACTTAAAGACACACACCAGAAAGCACACTGGTGAGAAACCTTTTTCCTGCTCAGTTTGCGGCAAAAGATTCTCTCGAAAAGGAACTCTGTTACGACACACAAGAACCCACACTGGTGAAAAACCCTTTGCCTGTTCAGTCTGTGGCCAAAAATTCTCTTGGAAGTATCAGGTGAAGAATCACAAGTGTGTTGGCGAGACAAGCAGTAATCAATGAAGCTTTCTCCTCTGATCTGAGCAGGCTTCATCACTTCACACTCCAAAGATGACTGAATTCTATTTACTTTCTTTGGGGTGAAAGCTGAAGTTTTGTTTTCCATCACTGCAGTGGAAAGCTCAGAGGTTTGTAGCAATGAATTTGAAAGTATTGTGAGTTGTCATCAGAGTTTTATTCATTTTGTGTTTTCACTCTAGTTCAGGGGTGTCAAACTCATTTCACATGGTGGGCCACATACGGCCTGGGTAGATGTCAAGTGGGCCAGACCATTAAAATGATACCATACTTTGCTATAAATAACCAAAACAATATGTCTTTCCTTTGTTTTGGTATAAAGAAGCACAAGAACATTAGGAAAATGTTGAAATTAAATGAACATATCTTTTACAAAACATTTCATGAAGCACCTTACATTTCCTTCGACAAATGTGCAATTTACTTTTATCATTCACATATATGCATTGCAACTGATCCCACTGATTGTACAAACTTTAACAAGTAATTAGTTTTGAAAAATAGAGTAATGCACTTTAAGATTAAACGAGATTTATAAAGAAAGGAAGTTTTAAACCATTTACACGTGCATATAAAATCTAAATGTAATCCCTGCCTACACCTTACAAACTAAGGAGCGTGCTATTAAATGTGTAAATGTGAGAGTGCTATTGATAGCGTCTGCTGTCATGGGTCTGTCTCAGTGATGGACTGAGGCTGCTGTTGTCTTTTTCTCTGATCAAAACAGTGTCCCCTAGCGGATACTCAATGAATTGCACATTATTAAAAATATTTATTCTGTGTCTTTTATGCATTTTCTTCACTTTTAAATTATCCTGTGGGCCTGATGGAACGGCCCGCGGACCGTATGTTTGACACCACTGCTTTACATAATCATCTCGCGGGCCGGATTGAAGTCCTTTGGGGGCCGGATCCGGCCCGCGGGACGTACGTTTGACACCCCTGCTCTAGTTCATCAAAATGTCTTTTGGCAAATGTAAGATGAGCCTTTGTGTTCTTTTTGGACAGCAGTGGTTTTCACCTGCGAGATCTCCCATGGATACCATTTTTGGCCAGTGCCTTTCTTATGGTAGAGTCGTGAACACTGACCTGAACTGAGGCCAGCGAGGTCTAGAGTTCTTTGGGTGTTGTTCTAGGTTCTTTTGCAACCTCCTGGATGAGTCATCATTGCACTCTTGGAGTAATTTTAGCTGGTCGCCAACTCCTGGGAATGTTTGCCACTGTTCCCAGTTTTATCCATTTGTGGATAATGGCTCTGACAGCGGTTTGCTGAAGCCTCAGAGTCTTGGAAATTGATTTGTAACTTTTTCCAGACTCATATATTTAAATAACTTTTTCCAGCCGACTTCACTTTGTCTTACAGGTTCTATTTATGTAATTTCTTGATTCAACAAATGTGGAGCAAGTGTGTTGCTTGTAAAATTGAACTCAGCTTTCCCAAAACTGTCGTTATTCACAGTTACTTTGTGATTTAACAAGGGGGCAGTTACTTTTTCACAGAGGGTCAGAAAGGTTTGGGGGATTTTTTTGTGCCTGAATAAATTAAATTTGCATTTAGCAGCTGCATTTTGCATTTCCTTGGGTAGTTTCTGTGTGATATTATTATTGGTTTGATGAGCTGAAACCTTTGTATGTGATATATGTGCAAAGAACACAGAAATCAGGAAGGGGGCAAATGCTATTTCATATGTATGTATGTATCTGTATGTATTTTTTTTTTTTACCCTCGGTGAACCACCACTATTCACACAGGACTGCTGCTCCACTGGAGTAGTCACTGAAATGGCTGGAGACAGCGGTGTGTGTACGACATGATTGACAGACCCCGTTGGCCATACCTTATGTCTGCTGCGCGGGTCTCTGATTGGTTGGATTTTAATAATTCAAAATTAAATTTGAGGCACAAGATCGGGCCACAGACGGATGACATTTCGAAAGATATTTTGAATAACACGCTACCATCAGGTAATATGATGTTTTAACTGATGACAAACGTTTGATTGTTTTTTCAAAGTATCTACGATATCTAACTTCACTATGATCTACGTGGAGTTCTCTGTCTCATGACACCGAGGCACTTGGATGCTCTACCACCAGGCCATTTACCTGAATATGTGTTGATTCTGTTCAGCTGCACAAAAAAGCAGAAGGAATCTCAGTAAGAAGATGGCTGTGCCACTTATGTGAAGCTTTTTTAATTAGGGATTAGAGTCTCTCAGAATAGCACCAAGAAGCGTTCTGAAGTTGAGATAGAAAATAAAGTCAATGGTAACTGTTCTGACCTTGCCACGTCCCCGCTGCGCTTAGACAGACAGATAACTCCTTCAATGACCACACCCGTTGATGTTTCTTGCAATTTATTCACCGTAGAGGCGAGTCAGGAAGGTGTCAAACTGTAACACACACACATAAAAACACTTACAGATTGTTGTAAAATAAAACGTGGCAAAACAATGTGCCCCACTTGCCTGACACATGACGAACGCGTGACTACGTTAGTGTTGATAACGTTCACGAGCTAATGCGCGAATCGCTTTTCATAAATGCTAACCGAAAACAATTGCAACATGCCTCAAATGTAAATTCACAGTGAACACACCCCACTAATTAATAATATTGCATAAATTTACAAAATATAGACATACAGGCTGTGCTTGGCTGAGGAAACCAACTTGCAGTCCATCTTTTGGAACTTCCCCGTCCAACATGAAAGAGGAGATGTCTCACGCAACAACATACGGTGTGCCTTTCACAATACCAAATTGCTCTGTAGCTATAGAAACAGAAAATAAATATTATATGGCTTTTCAGGGGCCAGAATAGTAACTCTAGACCGGGTCAGGTTGAGAGGTACCTAAAAATAATTTTTTAAGATTTTCTTTTGAAATTTGGGTGAAAAAATGAACATGTCTGATTTCAGAGTCCTTTTATTTTCAAGTGGAACATCAGATTTGAATGGCAGCACTGTCATTGGATACCCGGTGTGGCCCAGTGTCCCCTAGACCTACACTGGTTAAGGGATAACTGAAATTCATGCTTTAAATTATTTTTGGAAATCATGCGAGAAGGTCACAATGTCATATTTCAGAGGCCTTTTATGTTGAAATGAACATCAGATCTGAATGACAGTACTTTGGTTGGATAATAGGAGTGGCCTCGTATGCCCTAGACCTGGTGTGGTTGCGGGATAACAAAGATTTTTTTTTAATGATTTCTTAAATATCAGGTGAAATTTGGTTAAATCGGGTGAAATCTGGGAGCACTTTGAGGATCACGTTCTTGGATTTCTCCAGTGCCTTCAGCACCATCCAGCCCAACCTGCAGGGGGACAAGCTGCAGCACGCCAGTGGACCACCACCTCATATCATGGATTGCAGAATACCTCACAAACCGGCCACAGTACATGAGGGTACAGAGCTGTGAGTCGGACAGGCTTCTCTGCAGCACCGGGGCGCCGCAGGGGACTGTCCGGGCTCCATTCCTATTCACTCTCTACACCGCATCACTCCGACCTGCCAGCTTCAGAAGTTCTCTGATGACTCCACGATCGTCGGCCTCACTACGGACGGAGATGATTGGGAGTAGAGGGGACTGACGGAGGACTTCGTGGACTGGTGCCTGCAGAACCATCTCCGGATCAACCCCAGGAAAACTAAGGAGCTGGTTGTGGATTTCTGCAGGAAACAGTCTTCACCTGCACCGATGAACATCCAGGGTACGGACATAGAGAGGGTGGCTTCCTACAAGTACGTGGGTGTTCTTTTCAACAACAAACTAGACTGGTCGAACAACACGGACGCTCTGATCGGGAAGGGGCAGAGGCTCTTCCTGCTCAGAAAACTGAGGTCTTTTGAAGTTCAGGGGTCACTCCTTCTTATGACTCTGTGGTGGTCTCAGCCATTCATTATGGCATAGTCTGCTGATCAGGCAGCATCCCAGCCCGGGACAGAGAAAGACTGGACCAACTGGTCAGGAGGGCCAACTCTGTCCTGGGTTGCTCCCTGGACACTCTGGAGGAGGTCTGCAACAGGAGGATGCTAGCTTAGCTAACAGCTATGACGGACAGACCCTCCCACCCCCTTCAGGCACTTTCTATCAACTTAAGTCAGGGATAGGGAACTCCCGTTCCTCGAGAACCATATCCTGCCTGTTTTAGATACCTCCCTACTCCTACGCACCTGATTCAACTGTTCATGATTGTTTCAGGCCTCTACAGGGCTGGCAGATGATCTGATAATTTGAATCAGGTGTGTTGGAATAGGGTGGGATTGAAAACAGGCAGAATATAGCTCTCGAGGAACTGAACGTGTAAAAACTTTCACTCGGCAAAACGTAAATTAAATAACAATACAAAAAGCAATGTGGACTCAGAACGAATCACGGAACTAATTAAGCACACCACACAATAGAAAAAGAAAAACAACGTGAAATATTTTCATAAAATTATAAATGAATGCGGACCATCAACGGGATGCTACTTCCCAATGCGACTTTCTCGTATCTCTGCCTGAGCTACGTCTGGAAGCTGGTGCCATACTGTGCGCTGCTGCGTCACTTCCGTCGTCATTTAATAAACGTCATGTATCACCCGTTACAAATGCATGAGTTGGATCTCTTTTATTTTGAAGGCGGCCAACGGCACATTACCGGAATGTAGAATGTTAACAAACGCTGTGGCGGCTGGCTTGACCACAGTGTTGTTCGCGGCTAACAAGCTAAAATAAACTCCGTTCGCGATGTACACGTACACGTTGGAATATTCGATGAGATACGCCCATCACAAAACAACGTCCACTAAATATTCGGTTCTGGTTATCGTCACCCCGTCTTAGTGCACGTTAACGTTTTTCGGCCTAGCGTTGTCTTACTTTAGCTTAGTTTGCTAGCCGCTCACAAAAAGAGGCGTTTGTGGTCAACACATCGCCAAGCAGAGATCAAGTGTGATCGTAAAGTGTTGTGATTGTGATGTGAACATGTATGCAAGAAGGACAGTAGAGTACGAGGAGCAACTTTGTGGAGCAAAACGGGACAACGAACGACTACGTCAACTCCTGGACGCTGTATGCAGGACGCAGACAAGAATTGTTCTTCACAGAGCAGGTGGGGTAACTTCTTACTCTCGCTTTTGTTTAATTAATTCATTAAATAAAGAAACAAACTACAGCTATGAAGGGCCGTTGTAGCCTTGGAGCACTGGCATGCTTCCAACAAATTAATTTTTTTGACGAGCCTGATGTATGTGCACATTCTGATGGATTTACACAAATATTTGGACTCTCATCAGTGGTTCCTTGCAGTTTCTGTATTTCCTCTGAAATGGAGTTTGAGTTTTTCCCATGCCCCAGTTTGGTGTGTAGTTAGGTGGCATGGGCGGCATAGTCTTTGTCACCAATATTTTTGCAACTGTGTTTCTGTGAGGAGACTCTTGGGAGTAAGGGCAATAAAAATAAAATTACCTCAATTAAACTTTGCTCTTGCATTTGCTGTAGACACAATATCTGTGCACACAATAGATTGAAAACAAAGTGGCTTGTGCGCCATTCACTGCTTGCGAAAAACAAAACCCAATACAATAGAATACAATACAATACATCTTTATGTAGCACTTTCACAATAGCTACAGCTGTAACAAAGTGTCTTCTTGACCCTTTAGCATTAAAACAACAATAATACAACAGAACACACAAAATCGCAATCGCAAATTTTTTAGGGAAAAATGACAATTATGTTACTTCTCTGTCATCATTAAACCCTGTTTGATAATCGATTAGTTGTGAATTAATCGTTGCTTGACTGAGCCACAAAATATGAATATTGACTCGCAATTTGCGATGCCAAGTTGCGTAATTCGAGTCTTGTGATCGTACATTAAAGTCAACACATGAGAATTGCCTTGAGCAAACCATGAGTGTCCTCATGTGTCTTGCAGACGTCAATGAACACCTTTGTCCGGAGCAGCAGGAACCAGAGGCCACTCACATGAGACGCGGCTCCTTCACAATAAAAAAAGAGGAGCATGAACAGCATTCTCACAGCGAGGAGGAGGAAAAAGGGCACCCCGGCGTCAAAGAGAAAGAGGCAGACATCACCAAGCTGTCATCGACCGGTGTCTCTTTGAAGAGCGAAGACCAAGGTCAAAGTAAGAAAAGCAATGCAGCGAAGCCTCCAAACAGCAGCTCAAGCCAATGCTATAAAACCGAAGGTAAGGCTTGGCAATTCATTGAAATGTAATTGTGATTTCTCTTTTGGCTTCTCTTGAGCATAAATTGATATAAAAGAAAAAAAGCTAACGCAAAATGTGCATCTGGTTGTATTCTGCATCAATTGTCAGAGGCACGCTGGTCACACCTGGGACGTCCTCTTCCAAAATGATGCAGCAGGAGAACCACTCTGTCTGAAAGTTTGGGCCTTTGACAGATTTATGACATCATTCAATGCTAAACTCTATTTTACAAAAAGATTCTTTTGGCTGAGTCCTTAGGTGTACACAAACCCTTTTTATTTTATTTTATTTTATTGTATTTTAGTTATTTATTTATTTACTTATTTATCTATTTATTTATTTATTAAGCAGCCCCCCCCCCCAAAAAAAAAAATTGTTAGGTGTTTTGGAGGAATCCATTCCACCTTTGTCTCATAAGATAAGATAAGATAAGATAACATTTATTTGTCCCACACTGGGGAAATTTGCAGTCTACAGCAGCAAAATTGGGGGGGAGAAAAAAAATAAAGTGTCATCGGTTCATTGATAGCACTAACAAGGAAACCACTTGTCAAAACAGCGAGACATCAAATCATCACCCTCTTAAAATAATGGCCCAAGTCATATTTTGACAAAATGTTTTGGTTTTGTTCTGTTTTGTTTTTGTTGCGTGTATTGAACATCTGCTCAGGATGCTGGCCACCTTTGCTACAATAAGCTACATCCTGTGCCAGTTCTTGAAATCGTGACATAATGGTTCAGTTTGGCTCCGGTAACTTATTCCAATAAGTTATGAGCAAAAATTCTTCGGCATACAAAATCAAGTTTGGATGTGCCAAGTTAATGATGCAAAAAAAAAAAAAAAACAAAGCACATATTGTCGAAACGTTGACTCCAGAAATGGTCACAAGCCTGCGGTCAAATGCAAAAGTCATCCCGTGCGCCCCACCCGAATCAGGCCGCAACCATCTTCA